TGCTAGCACCTGCAGGACTGCGGAGATCTCCGCGGCGCTGCGGGGCCGTTGGCGGGGATGGGCGGGGGAGCGGGGGCCTCGAAGGTTTCCCATCCGCCTCTGGCAACCCTAATCTTCCTGCTCCATCTGGGCCCTGGGGCGTCTTCCACCGTCCAGGCCGGATGCTTTAAAAAAAAAAAATTGCTTTTTAAAGTGTCGTTGAAAGAAATTAGCTTTATCCCTGAAGTCAGGGGCGCATCCTCGCAATATACATCCTGTTATGGAAAGTGTTCGACTCCAGCTAGGGTTCTACAAGGCGTTTCCTGTTCACCGCCTGAGGAAAGCAAGCTCCGGAGTGACTGCCTTCTGAAAGTCGGTCTTGTAAAAACAATTGGACGGATGCCTTTGAAGAGCCCATGTCTCTGTCCTTTTCTTGAGAACAGTGTGCAGTCCTAATATTAAAGAACCACGACCACATAAAAACATTGCTCCCCTTCTGCTGCTTCGAAAACGACCCCTAAATTCCGTGTAGAAGTTGCCAGGTCGTCTTAACGTTCACTTCATTTGTATGCTGTCTGTCTGTCGAATACTGTGATGGAAGAGTGTATGCGGGGGGAGGAGCAGGGAATTTTTTAAAGCATTTTCCGGTCACCTCAGACTGGAGATCATGTTCTTTCCTGAAAAAAAAAAAAAAAAAAAAAACCCTAATGAGGGCGGTCATCTGCGATACTTACTTTGTGGTTCCTTCTGCCAAGTGGTTACAGCGCTGGGTGTGTCCAGGAGGCAAGGTGACATCTTAAACAGGAGTTGGGGATCCTTGCCAACTGAAACCTCCAGCCTGTATGGGTGTGGGGAGAGGAGTTCACCTTAAATAAAACTAGCGTTCATTGAAGTTTGATGGATTCGCTTTATCTTGATATTTTAAATATTCTGAATTTGAATGTGCTGGTTACATTTACTTTCTTTAAGATGTAGTTATAGGCATATGTAATAAACATTACAAGTTGTGGAGTAAGCTATTTTTAAAAATAAATGAAGGGTAAAGTTTTCTTTAATTAGTTTTGATAATTAGTAATTAGAATAGATTTTTCTTGGTGGAGTTGGTATCCACACTTTTGTGGTCCGTTGCCCAGTGTTAAGCTTTTGTAGTTACTGTTTGCATCACTGGTGCTTTGGGGGTTTTCAGTTAAATTGGCAGTTCTTACGGGAAGAGACAAAGTCGAAAAAAACAATACAAATTGACAGATCCCATTAGTAAATTTGAAAATTGCCTTCAGATAACTTCATAATTGAGGACTGAGATTTTAAATTAGGACTTCAATTAAAAAAAAAAAAATTAGCCGGGCATAGTGGCCTGTGCGTGTAGTCCTGACTACTCAATAGGCTGAGGCAGGAGGATCATCTTGGGCCCGGGAGTTGGAGACTGTAGTGAGCTATGATCACACCAGTGCACTCCCTGGGCAACAGAGTGAGACCTTGTCTCTCAAAAAATAAAAAAATTAGGACCCCAAGTTAAAGTGTAAAAAATTTTATATGGAAGTTAAGTAAGATTGCTCATATAACTCTTGAGTTTACATGTAGTCAGCATATGCTCAGTGAAAACGGGATTGCTTCAAGAGGACTTTGAGGCCAGGGTGATTAGGTAAGTAAAAGATGTAAAAAGGTAGAAAATTTTTGTCACTTGACTCTAAATAATTTTTCCGATAAGTGCCAAGGCCTGTTTCTGTTAGGCTTAGAAGATCAAAGGAGTTGGCTCTTTTAAAATATAGAAAGCTCTAGCTTCAGTTAGAATTTAGGCCTTTAGTAATAGCCCTAATTTTTATGAAGCCATTTTGTTCCAGTGATCTTTTGGTGAGAGATGCTATGTAAGTACTATTCTTCAAAATCAGCTGTCTTTTTACCCTAACGAAATAATTTAGATTGCTTTTGATATAGGTAAAACAAATATCCTGACTTCCGTAATTGTAGAAAAAACTTCACATAGGAATCCTTTGTTGTATCAAAGTAGCACCTGATGGGAATGAACAGACAGGAATGGATGAAAGATAGCAGTTCGTGTTCCATTTCAAGCCCATGGGCTCACACATTTATTCAGATAAGAACTTGGGTTTTGTTTTTGTTTTTTTTTTTAAACCACCTTTCACTAGATAAACTCCTACAGTATTCATGCATACTTTTGAATGGCATGTAGGAAATGTTTGATAGGTGCTTAATGTATTCACTTCAGGTCACTAATGTAATACAGGTTCGTGCTTCTTCGTGTTGACAGATCACCTATGGTTCTCCAAAATGAACATTCTAATACAGGAGGTCTAGGGAGGAACCTGAGTGTATACTAATGCCTAGAACTTTCTCTGGAGTGGCAAGAGCAGTGGGAAGAATTATATCAATAGCTACAGAAATAAGGGAGTAAGAAAGAACAAGTCGTCTCTCTAGTGAATTATTATTCACTTTACTGAGATAAACATACATGTTAATGAACTTGAGTTTTCCCAAAAGTAGAATTCTTCTGGTTCTTCTAAGAAAATGGCACTCCATGGAAACAGAGGGAAGAACCAAATGTATTCCCCTTTGTAGCAGTTGGGAAAGTTAGTGCTAGGAAGTCTCCTTGATTTATAGTAGGCTTTATTCTGGATATTGCTGGTAAAAGTTTATTCTAAAACCTGAACTCTGGATAAGTAGTAAATACAAAAAGCTTGTCAACCTTCCAAGCAAAATTGAGAGCTTTCAGGTTATGTGAGTAATTTAGTCTCTTGGGTGCTTAGTTCATTCCTTGAAGCTGATTTTTGTGATCTCTTCCAAGATTGCATTTGCTCGGAGGTAGGGAGTTAGACAACATGGTATGAGGTCCCTAAATTTTGACTTTCCAAGCAAAACTGGACAGTGGTTCCTTTTGCTAACATCCTTGTTTCTTCCTAAGGCCGCTCATGTTTCATATATGGTAGCCTTCCCAAAATCCCATTCCCCCCGCCCCGCCCCCACCATGTAGAGAGAACAAACCTGTCTCCCTTCTTGTACAGAGTATGGGATCCTTCAACTTTCACACAGGTTACAGTGTCTGCCACACACTTAGCTCAACTTTAAGTTTTGAAGTGATGTCACCTGCTGCATTTGTCCCTGGGTTGCACCTTGTGGATTTAGTTTGCATAAATTTTCTCAGCTTAAACAAAGTTAACATTGAATAGATGGCTTAATAAATGCCATGCATGCCTACATTCTGTGTGGAAATTGAGCTCGTCAGGTTGATATTTAACATTGTAGGTTCTTAGTTTAGTTAATTTATATAAAATAATGGTTACCATTTAACTCTTTAGGTTAGCTTTGTACATAGCATCTCACTTTGCACAACAACCCTGCAAGGTAAGTATTGTTGTTCTTGTGTTACAAATGAAGTTGACTGAGAGATTGAGTACCACGTCCAAGGTCACACAGCTATTAAATGGCAGAGCTGGGATACTAGCCTGTGACTCAGAACTTGATGCTTTTCCCCCCCACGCCATACATGCCAGGTTGCCCTTCCTTTCAGAAATGATGGAAGTCCTGCAAAATGCAATAAACTGAAGTAACGTAGCTTCTATTATAACAAAGTAAATAATTCAGTAGATTTACTGGATTTTAAACCTTATCCCTTGGGTAAACAATCTGTGACTGACTTCACACCAAATATTTGTTGGTGGAAGATTTGGACTTTAGGGATAAAAGTAGATACATTTTTTTATTTTACAAACTCTGTATTTGAACTTCATTATTGGCTCTTCAATTTGAAGTTACCAGCCTTTTTTTTTTTTTTTTTTTAATTTGATTTACATCGTGGTCAAATAAAAATTGCGGAGCAGGGAAAATAAACTACTTTCTGGATTCCTTCTTGAGTTTTCTCATGCTGTGCCCTAGAGAAAATGTGAAGGCATTCCACATTAAGGTGTTACTTTTCCCAGGGATGTGTTCATTTAAAAAGAATAAAGCCAGGCAATGTTTATTTTTCTTTTCCTACAAATAAATGAATGGATTCATCATTGTATACTTGACTCCCATGTTGGTGGGATTTTAGATAGGAAGCTATTTCTTGGCTGTGCTTCTCAATACCCCATAAGGAGTTGCTTCATGGATGTATATACTAATAAGCAGTGAAAGAAAGTGTATGTTCAAAGAATACAACAAGGAGTATGGATATTTTGCAATCATCTTTATATATTATGGTGCTCTGAATTAAAAGCTAAAAATTAAAAGCTAAAAGTTACTGGGTATGTCTGACACCTTAGTGCTTTATCTTGGTTCTACTAATTTTGCCTGCCCCACTCCCACTTAACCCTAGCCTCATTCCTTATCTGTAAGATAGGGGATAATAAGATTATAAGGTTATTATTAAGATTGAATAAGGATAAAATTTATAATGGGTTTTAGCAAATGGCAGAAAATATTTTCTGAAGAAAACCAAGTGCTATTAAAAAACATCACAAGCCTTAGGCTTATTTTGGGATTTAAAAAACCAAGAGAAAATGGATGGCTGAACTTTTAAACATTTGGTAAGTATTATAGTTCGGAGCTCTGGATTCTTTGCATTTTGTCTGCTGGGTGAGAAGGAATAAAAGCTTGTTGTGCCTTTTTCTTTAGATCACTTTAATTTCAAAACGATGTGTTTAACCATTTGTGGGAGTAATTTTCATTTTGTGATCCTGAAGCATTTTGATTCAGTGGGAATTTCTGGTGATTTATATCTGGCATAGAAGTGAGCTTAAGTTTAGCGATTCTAACGTTGAAAAAGGAAGCAGTGTTTCTATTGGATTCTAAATTATACTTTCAAAAATATTCTGAAGTATTCGTATATCTTAAACTTGGAGTTAAGACAGCTTAGCTTTGAAGATAAGAAAACCAGATGTGTGCCTTTTCTACCCAGATGTGTTTGTTGCTGGAACTAAATGAAACAGTAAATGAAACAGTTTAAAACCCTTGAAAGGTTTTAAACTTGTTTCTGTAACTGCTAATCTATATACTCAAGTCACTAACCTATCTCTTTGATCTCTTTGTAGGCTGACCAACTGACCGAAGAGCAGATTGCAGGTGAGAAATACTCAGCTAGATTGTACCCATTAGATTATTATTTATTGAATAGCCAACATCAGAATAAGAGACTTGTGTGAAATAATTGACTTTGGTATATGTCATGTATACTAACATAAGGGTATAATATAATACAGTAATTCAAACTGCTTTGGCAAGTGGGATTGTAAACTTGCCGGTGGAAGATGTGCAGGGCTAATTGTAATTAAAGACATGTATTTTAGTCTGCGTGGATATACTTTGGAGTCTGGTGGTGTAGTGGTGGTCTTTGTTTTGTTTTCTGAAGACTACCTTAGTATTCAGGAATTCTGGGCTAGCTAACACTCTAACTTCAAATCAGTCTCCACAAGAAAAGAGGGCTAAGAAGTAACTAAGGCAGCTTGAAATGGAGAATCAAAAAAGGAATATTGAATTACCCTTGTTAAAATTAGCTAATATTTTAACCTAAGAATTGCATATATAATCAATCAGAATAATCATTTCTCAAGTGAAAAAATTTAAGAAGTTGGCGTTCTATTTTATAAATGTCACTGTAGCAATATGGATTTTTCTTTTAAAAAGCAGTGACAGCTGTTGAAATGAAGCTGCTTAAATATCATCCCCTTTAGTTTGCTATGGAAGTATGCGAAATTATTACATAAAACCTGATGTCATGTTCTCTTTATGCCATGCCATAGAACATTAATACTTTTGATTTATCCTTGTACTTTGAGATGGCTGGTTAATGCCAATGTTGGGGAAACTTTTTCCCCCCCTTGCTGGAGTTGTTTTTTTTTTTTTTTTTAATTGTAGTGTTGAAATGCTTTGCAAACTATTCCTTTGTTTTCATTAGAGACTTTTATTAGCATGAGCACCAAGCAGTTTATCTGCCACAGTTTTCACAGTAACCAGGAAGGATTTGATAAGAGCTCAAAAGCACTTGAGCACTTTTTCTAATGCTGGAGAAAACTGTGAGAAGCGCAATTGGAACTATATAGCCCATTTAAAGCAAGCTCCTCACTTCCATAAGCATATAGAAATTTTCAGGATACCAGAATTACACGAGTCATCTCAAATATTCATCACAAATACTATTTGATAGGACTGTAGGTAGAAAGCTATTAGTATTAAAGACAAATTTAAGCAGGTTTTATTTTTATTGTGTCATTTGACTTAGTGTTTACTTTCTGAGGTTGGTAAATTACATGTATTGAATGTTATGAACAAAAAGCAAACGGTTTTGGGTATAATTTTTTTGTTGAGTTACACTGTTTTAAAGATATCACCAATTTGATCTCATGTCTCCTCAAAAAAAACAGACTGCGCCTAATGGCTGGTAATCTTACCACTTTGGGAGGCTGAGGCAGCAGGTTCACTTGAGCCCAGGAGTTTGAGACCAGCCTGGGCAACATAGTGAGACCCCATCTCTACAAAGCAAATGTATCATCAAAATGTTTTTCTGAAGTAGTTTTTTTATAAATATACTATCTCCTTCCCAAACTATCTTAGGCTATCTAATACTTTCAGTCTTAAACTCTGACCTTCTCTAATACACTTGCCTTTCATTTCTCAATATTCCCAGTCAGGTAGTGGTACGTACTGTACACAGTACAACATGTTCACTTTAGGGTAGAAAATGTATTAATCAGTGTGCCTATTGCATAGTTGATGGTCATTTCTGCTCTCCTAAACACACAACTCTTTAAAAAGAAAGTTTGTTGGCTCGGCACAGTGGCTCACGCCTGTAATTCCAGCACTTTGGGAGGCCGAGGCGGATCACTTGAGGTCAGGAGTTCGTGACCAACCTGGGCAACATGGCGAAACCCTGTCTCTCCTAAAAATACAAAAATTAGCCAGGCGTGGTGGTGTGCTCCTGGAATCCCAGCTACTCAGGAGCCTGAGGCAGGAGAATCACTTGAACCCGGGAGGCGGAGGTTGCAGTGAGGTGAGATTGTGCTCCCGCACTCCGGCCTGGGCGACAAAGCGAGACTTCGTCTCAAAAAAAAAAAAAAGTTTCTGTCTATTGAATATGAGAATGATAGCATTTTTATTTTTTAATTTTTTTTTTTGAGACAGTTTCACTCTTGTTGCCTAGGCTGGAGTGCAGTGGCGCAACCTCCGTCTAGTATGACTTCACTAACAAGTTCATTTTATTGATAACTCTGCCATGATGTCATTAGTTGTTGGTGTTTGACTTTTGGAAGACTGATGGGAAAAATGTACAATAATTTTTCCTTAAGAAATCTGTACCTAAACTTTCATTAAATTTTCAAGGTCCAAATTTGTTTGAGAAAAATATTAATGTTACTTAATGTATAGCAACAATTGCATGAAGTGCCAAAAGAGTTCCAATACCTGATCTTTAAGGGATTATTAAGTTCAGAATTTTGTGAAGAAATAGAAGTTAATAAACAGTCATTTGATTTGTAATTGTCTTGTGATAACCTATTTTAATAAAATTTTAAAAACATGTTATTTTAATAAAATTGTATGTTTAGGTGATAAACTAATTAGGGAAGGGCCCTGGGGTTGCTAATGAACAAATAAAACTTGAGTAATAGATTTTTCTGAAAGTTTCAATTTGATCATAGCTAAAATGGATTTTGGTAGGTTCCTTACACCTATCAGTTATGTAGAAGATAGCTATTCTGTGGCATTCGGGACCTGTTCTCTTTATTGTATGTTTAGGTTTTGACTCTTGGATTTATATTTCAAGTCATTCCTGGGAGTTACTGTTTAGAATTATATGCTTCTGTATATAAAGATTATGCTAGTTTTGAAGTACAGGTAAACTGCAAAGGCAGGTGAATTAAAATTTTACTTTGGGGATTATTTTGAGGTTTTACAGGTAATTTTTACTCTTGAGTATAAAAATACAAGTAGAAATTTGGAATAAACCTTGACCTTTAAAAGAAATGTTACTTGTTCCTTTCTTGAATGAATAACAGATAGTATTAGCATAGATACGGTTTTCTTTTCTGCATTTTACTTCTAGCAAACATTTTAAGTGCTATTAGATTTTTAAATTTCTTGAAAGTTATACATAGATAATCTTACACTATGCATCTTCCAGTATTCAGCTTTTTGTTAAATCGTATAATAGAAAGGTGACTACTGCTAATTAAACATTGGGAATTTATGCACCTAATGGTGGTGTTAAAAGATACCCATAGCAGAGAATGTAATATAAACAAATACATATCTCACAGTCCTTTAATTTTCTTGTAACCTATATTAGGTGAAAGATGCAATGTGTCTGAACGCTGATATATGTATTTCTAGATATTTCTACATTCTGTTTAAAAACAGTAAAATTGAAATGTCTTTATCAATTGTGCTATTTGTAGGTGGAGACTCCCTGATCTATTTTTGTCATTAGGTTGATCTAGGTTAGCGCTGTATACTATTTTCATAAAATCAGTTAGTGTGGTACGAACCTTCTGATAGGTATTAGATGAGTTCCTCTACAAACCAGTAATATTTAAATAAGAAAGAATGCAGTTAGGAGGCAATTGTAGTAGCCCTGGCAAAGGATGATGGAGCCTTGAACCAAAATACTGATTGTAGAGATGGAGGAAAAATTAGGCAGTATTTAAATGGTAGAATTCGAGACTTGTTGGCAGATTTCAGATGGAAAGAGTTAAAAGTGGCTCTTGGGCGTTTGCTAGTATCTTTAGGGTTGCTTTGAGTATAGAATTCATCTTCATATGTTTTGCTTGTGATCAGCCAGGGGAGATATATCCTGTAGACAGCCAGAAATAAAGATATTTATTGAGCAAGATGAGTAGACTAAAGATATCTTTGTTGTAAGTGAGTATAGATGAAATGGCCAAGGAGTGGGAAAAAAAGGATAAAATTGGTCATATCTAGACATAAGACACAGGAGTAAGAGCCTTTGGCAGTATGTGGTAGGAGGAAAATCAAAGTACTGTTACGAAGGCTAAGAGAAGTTTTGAGAGGTTTTCTATGCAGTTTTGGATGCTGCAAGAAAATGAGATCATCTTTATCTTGACATTTATTAAGTATTTGTTTGTTGGACATAGTTGTACGTGTTTCACACATACTAATTTTTTTAAGAGGGATGACCAGGTGAACACCCCTTGTGGGCGTGGTATACTGTGTTGCTGCACATACTGGGCACATTAATGCCATTTCACAGAAATGAGGAAGCTGAGGCAGAAAAGGTTTAGTAACTTGTTCAGATTGCATTGCCAGAAGAAGGAACAGAGCTAGGAAATTCTAACCCAGTAGTCAAGTTACAAAGTCTCATTTTAGTTTTTATACCGCATGGCTTCACACTGAAACATACTTGATGGATTGGGTGACTGACTAGTGGTCATTGGTAAACTCAGCATTTTCAGGTGATGAGTTGGAGCTGAATGTCATTTTAAAATAGTGGATTGTTAGGAGAGAGGAAATTGGTATGAGTAGTAGTGCCTTCCAAAATTTGGGGAGGGATAAGGGCAAACACTTTTTAACTAAGGTTTCAGTTTAGTTTTACGCTAAGCGATGTGAAGATATTTATGTGGTAATGGGCAAATGAGTGGAAGAATAGTTGAGTCCACAGAAGAGGTAATATGGAATGAAACTGGAAGGTGTATGCGAATTGGAGTAGGGATAAACAGGCAGGGAATAAATTGGCCTTAGACTGAAAAGAAGGTACACCATTTCTTAAACATGTGTCACATACACATTTTCAAATGTATGGTTATGTTGGGAAAGCTTAATGGCCCCATGAACTTGGAAACTTTTTGTATTCATTTGCTGATAGGGTCTAATATCTTCTGGAAAACGACTTACTTGGAAAATACTAGCTGAATTATTTACTCATTGGTAGAACTTTGCAGTATCAAAGTTAGTCTGTTTTAGTTTCTTCCTTTTTTTTTTTTTTTTTTTTTTTTTGAGATGAGTCTTGCTCTGTTGCCCAACCTGGAGTGCAGTGGCAAGATCTCTGCTCACTGCAGCTTCTACTTCTTGGGTTCAAGCAATTCTGCTGCAGCCTCCCAAGTAGCTGGGACTACAGGTGCACGCCGCCACACCCAGCTAATTGTGTGTGTGTGTGTGTTTTAGTAGAGATGGGGTTTCACCATGTTGGCTCAGGCTGGTCTCAAACTTCTCCTGAGCACAGGCAGTCCACCCACCTCGGCCTCGCAAAATGCTAGGATTACAGGTGTGAGCCCCTGCACCTGGCCTGTTAATTTGTAAATGGTGAATGAAGCCAGGTAGTCTGGAGTGTTGCACCAGCAGGTTACCATGTAATGTAGTGATGTACTAGAAGGAACATATAGCTGGGCACAGTGGCTCATGCCCTGTAATCCCAGCACTTTGGGAGGCTGAGGCGGCGGGTGGATCACCTGAGGTCGGGAGTTTGAGACCAGCCTGACCAACATGGAGAAACCCAGTCCCTGCTAAAAATACAAAATTAGCTGGGCGTGGTGGTGCATGCCTGTAATCCCAGCTACTTGGGAGACTGAGGCAGGAGAATTGCTTGATCCTGGGAGGAAGAGGTTGCGGTGGGCCGAGATTGCACCATTGCACTCCAGCTTGGGCAACGAGCGAAACTCCGTCTCAAAAAAAAAAACAAAAAACAACAAGAAGGAACATACTATCACAACAAGATCTTAAGGAATAATCTGTTTCACTGTATAAGGTTGGGGTTTTAATATTCCAGAGAAAGCTCAAAATGATCGTTGTTCTCAGTGACATACATTTAGCTAAAACTGGACATTGATATCTTGATTGCCCATTGTTACAGACTGTTTATATAGTCCCTTCTCCTGCCTTATTAGAAAGGGAAAGTAGCCTGTTTTAATTTAGTAGGTGATTGATTTAGACTTAGTGGCTGACTCTAACTAAACATAGTATACAGAAACAGTCTAATTACTCTGTAGAAATACATATTTGGGTACTAATAGTCTTATTTTTGTTTTGTTAGGTTAGGTCTGTAATTTTGAATTATGTTCCGCAGAGCAGCTTCAATGACAAATAGAGGAGCCAGTCATTTGGGGATTTAGTTCTTTTCCTCTGTAAACCTAGGATAATTTTACTTAGATCAGCATAAAAGTACAGTCATATGATTGGCCAAAGATATATTTGAAATATTATAAGGTATCATAAAGATTAGGTAATCTTTAGGAATCAAAGTCACATTTCAGATGCTACCTCCATTGGTATTTTTCCTTTAAAAGTTTTTTGGGTTTTTCTGAGACATGGGGTCTTACAGTTTGGCCAGGCTGAAGTGCAGTGGCTGTTCACTGGCACGATCCCACCACCGAGTAGGCTTTAAGAGTTAATACTTTTCATTTAGGTTACATTTTATTGCTAATCTCTGTATTTGGATTGTGGTCTTTCAAACAGAATTCAAAGAAGCTTTTTCACTATTTGACAAAGATGGTGATGGAACTATAACAACAAAGGAATTGGGAACTGTAATGAGGTCTCTTGGGCAGAATCCCACAGAAGCAGAGTTACAGGACATGATTAATGAAGTAGATGCTGATGGTAAGTCTTTAATTTTTGGGGGTGGGAGGGGTTGAAGAAACGATATTTATAATTCTATTTGATGTTTCAACTAAACCATTTCAGGTAATGGCACAATTGACTTCCCTGAATTTCTGACAATGATGGCAAGAAAAATGAAAGACACAGACAGTGAAGAAGAAATTAGAGAAGCATTCCGTGTGTTTGATAAGGTAGGTCAAGGACTGGATACGTTAAATTTTGAGGATGAAATGAAGATACCAGGACTCATTATGAAGACTTTTTTTTGTTTGTTTGTTTTGATGATTTACCAATATATTTTAATTATCAAGCAAAAGCTTTTTAAGAATTCTCTATAGATTTTCTAATATATGTATTGCATTAATCTTGTCAAAGGAGGTGTCACTTGACTTTGGGACTTAGGAAATAGTGATTTCAATATAGGACATTTTGCTTGGTTCTTAATGACATTTGTAGGTCAACTATGTGTGTAGATTTGTATGCATTTCTAAAGTATGTTTTTCCCCCAATGCAAAATTTAGTAGTAAACTTAATAAATTTCCATTCCAACTCTGAAGTCTGTAATTTTACTCAGAAACTATACTAAATTTTTTGCTAGGATGGCAATGGCTATATTAGTGCTGCAGAACTTCGCCATGTGATGACAAACCTTGGAGAGAAGTTAACAGATGAAGAAGTTGATGAAATGATCAGGGAAGCAGATATTGATGGTGATGGTCAAGTAAACTATGAAGGTAAATCTTTCAGTCTCACCACCTCATTCTTTACTTTGATTTTTAAGATAAGAGGTGCTTGTTAGGTAACTATCAAAGTTAGTGACCCTTCCCCCCAAATTAGGATGCTAAAACAGCTACTTATATTTAACCTTTTTAAAATTCAGAGTGTTGTCTTCAGACTAGACAACATTGCTCTGACCTGAGAACTTAATTTACAAATATTTACTATCAGGTTCTACTCCTACACCTGGAATCAGCATTTTAACCAGATTCTTGGTTGATTCATATGTAAAGTTTGAGAAACACTGTACAGTGTTTGTGCTGGATTGTGGAACAATGGAAAGCAAACTTATTCTGAGTTTCCTAAAATGAAATTAATGTGACTTTCTTTCCCCGCACTGTATTATCTTTTTTCTTTAATTGGCTTTAGTCTGAAACTGAAGTTTACATGTGCTTCAGAAGTATCGTATGTATTAACTTTGAGATGGCCATATCATGAAGCAAGGCAAATAGAAATTGAAGGATTTTCAGTAAAACTTTGTATTTTTTTCATGATGTAACTGCTTAGAAAAGAGCATAAAACTTAATGTTATAAAAATTAAACCTAGCTCATAGCACTGAATTTACATTATTGTCTTGTATTCCAGCAGACTTAAAATTCAAGTCTAAACTAAGATAGAGCCAAGAAAGCTCTTTTTATATTAGCTTATCTAAAGCATTAATTTGGCTCTTACTAATAATCCTGAATAGTTACAGTTAATGAAGTTCCAACCTGGGGAATAAACTTGCTTCCCTCTGTACTTAATGGTAATTCTGAGGAAAGAGAGGAATGGAAGGAGTACTCAGTGATTGAGTAAATGTGATTTTTTTTTTTGGTCTTTTGCTATTGACTCAATTTTTTTGTGTACTTCTTCTTTTTCAGAGTTTGTACAAATGATGACAGCAAAGTGAAGACCTTGTACAGAATGTGTTAAATTTCTTGTACAAAATTGTTTATTTGCCTTTTCTTTGTTTGTAACTTATCTGTAAAAGGTTTCTCCCTACTGTCAAAAAAATATGCATGTATAGTAATTAGGACTTCATTCCTCCATGTTTTCTTCCCTTATCTTACTGTCATTGTCCTGAAACCTTATTTTAGAAAATTGATCAAGTAACATGTTGCATGTGGCTTACTCTGGATATATCTAAGCCCTTCTGCACATCTGAAGTTAGATGGAGTTGGTCAAATGAGGGAACATCTGGGTTATGCCTTTTTTTAAAGTAGTTTTCTTTAGGAATTGTCAGCATGTTGTTGTTGAAGTGTGGAGTTGTAACTCTGCGTGGACTATGGACAGTCAACAATATGTACTTAAAAGTTGCACTATTGCAAAACGGGTGTATTATCCAGGTACTCGTACACTATTTTTTTGTACTGCTGGTCCTGTACCAGAAACATTTTCTTTTATTGTTACTTGCTTTTTAAACTTTGTTTAGCCACTTAAAATCTGCTTATGGCACAATTTGCCTCAAAATCCATTCCAAGTTGTATATTTGTTTTCCAATAAAAAAATTACAATTTACCCAATGGTTGCTCTACATCTGAGTCATTTAACTGTTAAAGTCTAATAATTTTGAAAATAAAATATGGCATTGGTTTCTCCTTGGTATAATCTAGATAATTTTTTCTCGTGTGGGGAAGTGTATGGAGATGGGTGGCAGAAATAGTGAAGGTGGGAAGGGAAGGAGAAAAGGATTGGAAAAGTGAGAAAAGAGGGAGGGTAGCACAGAAAATAAGAGGAACAAAATAAGGAGTGTGTAACTAAGGAGAGATCGAGGAGGAAGACCGAAAAGATGGGGATCTGGGGGGCTGGCTTAGTGTGGTCACTTTTTAGGGGCCGCCATCATGCATGCCCATTCCTCCACCACCATGCCTGTCATATTGTGCTACTGTGTTAGGCCCACAACACCTGTGGGTCCCTTCTGTGCCCACAGAACAAGATGGTGGCAGTCACGGGAAAAGAGGGGCAAGTGTTTTGTTTTGTTTCTTCATCCAGATTGTATTTGACAACTTCAAAAGGCTCAAATGAAATACTCAAAAACTTAAGTGTACCTAGCATGGGAATTGGCATAAAGAAGGTATTTACTGTTTCCTACCTTTATATTTTTCAACTTTGGCATTTGTCCACGTTGACTTAAGCTGTGCAATGATGTTTTAAATGTTTGCATGTTAAAAAAAAAAAACAAAACACCAAATCTAGTTGGGGTGAGCATCCTTATAGTTTTTACTTCTATTAGCTAATATTTTATTCATTATGCTTTTTAATTCTATAAGATGAGAATTTTCAGCTTGCCCATCTGTAACATTTTACAAAAAAGATGTCTTTAGGAGTAAATTGGCAATGACTACACCTGTTTTAGTTTTTGCTGGCCTCTATCATTGCTTTCTTTATAATCTGAGCTACTCCAAAGGTGGTTATCAGGGTTTTTATTTTTTAAAACTACCTTTTAAATGCTTAATGAAAGATTCCATAGCAAACCAGAGCCAAGATTAAAACATTGAGTGTAATTGTTACCTGGTTATTATAGCCACAAGGTCTTTAATTTCCCAGGGGTAATTCATTATTTGGCAGGTTACTGCCCCATTGACTATTTTAATACTACTATTAGTGTGTTTTAGAGCAAGGGAAGTTACAGGCACTGATAGTCCTAATGGTATCACATGAAACTCAGGTAATCAGTTAAATAGGAAGATTTTAGATGTGTACTCTACTCCCCTTAATTGGATGTAGTAAGTTTTGTCAAAAGGAAATCCAAACAAGGTTGTTTTTTTTTTGTAGAGACAGGGACTCATTATGTTGCCCAGGTTGGTCTTGAACTCCTGGGCTCAAGTGATCCTCCCACCTCATCCAAAGTGCTGGGATTATGAGTGGGGCTTTTTAAAAAGTTAAGTGAAATAATGAAAGGCACTTAGCATTGTCCTTGGCATTTGCATTAAGTGTTCCATTAAGTATGCTATTAAACCAGTTATGACCCTGAAAAATGAGGGACTTGGGCAGTCAGTTGGTGTTTTTCCAGTATCAACAATGAGGTTTATATAAATTGATATCAAGGTATATATAACAAGGACAACAAATGTAGGAGAAACATTTTTTGGGCTCTTGTATGTCATAATTGGTCACTTCTATTGTTGAAATCTTTACAAAAGTCATGAAGTCTTGGCATCTTGATTTTACAGGAAACAAGTGTAGAATGATTGTATAATTTAGCTGTGGTCATAATGAGCTGGGTTCAAATCTCAGTTCCAGTGCTTCCTACAACATAATCCTATTGTAATCCAATTTTATTAACCCCTTCTCTATAGACAAGGACTGTGATATCACCTTCAAGTTTTTTTTTTTTTTTGAGATGGACTCCCGCACTGTTGTCTGGGCTGGAGTGCAGTGGCACAATCTCAGCCCACTGCAGCTTCCTCCTCCCGGGTTCAAGCAATTCTACGTCAGCCTCCCGAGTAGCTGGGATTACAGGCGCCTGCCAGTACACCCGGTTAATTTTTTGTATTTTCAGAAGAGACGGGGTTTTACTATGTTGGCCAGGCTGGTCTCGAACTCCTGGCCTTGTGATCCGCCCACCTTGGCCTCCCAAAGTGCTGGGATTACAGGTGTGAGCCACTGCGCCCAGCCCCACCTTCAAGTTTAACCATACTATTAGTGTTATATTAATAGGATTGTGCTATTGTACCAACCATAATACTGTCTGGCATGTTTGCTCTTAGATGATTCTCCCAATAAACCATCACTATTGCAGTTAAATATGACCCTTGGTGTAACGTATTTTCCTAAAATTTTTAGAAGACGGCAACAATTTTAAAGATCTGATACATAACAGGCACTGTTGAGCTCTTACAGATTTGTATTCTCAAGAGAAATGTCTCTCCCCCTTTCTGAAACTTAGGATAATCTGGAAATAAATCTTAGTGATACTATATAAGACAATGTTTTCTTAAAGGAACATTTTGTTTATCCTATGTGCTTAATCTGCTTTTTGATAGTCCTTGAAGTCATTGACCCATGCCGTTTCTATTTTTGAGATACTTAAACTATTTTCTCATCTAGATGTTCCCATCTCTAATGTCACACCTTGTATGGGTTTCTGGACTTCTCTGTACCTTTCATATTCTTTTAGTCTCGAGGGTACCAGTCCCTAGTCTGCTGAGCCAGTTTTACAGGCTCAGCCAAAATAAGAAAATGAAATGAGGCACAGGGAATGGACTTGATTAATCTCTTAACATTTGTGAGAACTTTGGTATTGCCTCTTCGCTTTCTAATTTCAGTTGTTCATTTTAAACCTAGTGCCTGTTAAGGCTATCTTAAATGAATTTAGAATCCCAGTATTTTAAGAAACTAGAAGTCCTCTAGTCTCTTGCTCCTCAAAAAGTCACCCATAGAATCACCCAGGAGCTTGTTGGAAAAGCAGAATCTTAGGTCCTGCCTCAGAATTGGAATCAATCTGCTTTTTAAACAAGATCATCAGATATTTTGTATGCATATCAATTTTTGAAAAGCATTGCTGTAATCTAGTCTTTGGTTTACTTAGAGGGGAAAACCAGTCAGTGGTTTATTCAACAAATATTTTAGTCCTTGTGTTCAAAGGGGTCAATTAAAAAACAACCCCGTGTTTTGGGTGTTTAAAATTAGAGGAGAAACGATTTGTCATGAAAGGAATCTTCCAACAATGGTAGTCACGGGGTCCTTTGGGACTTGGTGGATTAGGCTTAGAGGTCTACTCAGAGGAGTTGACTCTTGAGATTTTCCAGGTGGTCAAAGAAAGGAATAGCATTTCATGCAGAAGAGCTAGCATATGTGGAGACAAATAGAAATGTGAAGATGGCATGTTTGGCGTTATTGCAAGCATGATACAGCAGAGCATGCCATCCTAATAAGGGAGAGAAGTGGCCGGGCGTGGTGGCTGATGCCTGTAATCTCAATAATTTGGGGGGCCGAGGTGGGTGGATCGCGAGGTCAGGAGTTCCAGACCAGCCTGACCAATACGGTGAAACCCTGTCTCTACTAAAAATACAAAAATTTGCTGGGTGTGGTGGCGGGCGCCTGTAGTCCCAGCTACTCTGGAAGCCGAGGTTGCAGTGAGCTGAGATTGTGCCACTGCACTCCAGCCTGGGCAACACAGTGAGACTTCGTTTCAAAAAAAAAAAAGAAAAGAGAAAAGTGAGAGATTGGATTGTAAATGTTGCTTTTGTCCTAAAGGTAATGACAACTCACATTTACTGACTGCATTGTGCCAGACATGGCTGTAAACATTTCAAGTTAATCTTTATAACCTATGTGGATAGGTACCAATTTTATTAACCCCTTCTCTATAGACAAGGAAACAAGCACAGAATAAGTCAGCATATGCAACCAGCGTCCAAGTCCTGGTAGTCAAGGGAGGAGAGTGATTCAAGAATGAGGGAATAATCAATGCAGCAATGAAAATTGAAGGCCAAGTTTCATAAGAGCTGAAAATCCCCATTGGATTTGGCACTTGGATCACTGGTGAGTTGAAGTGCAATTTTAATTAAAAGTTGTGTGCAGGCCAGATTAAGATGTTTTTAGGAAAGTATGGGAAGTGAGAAAAGAGTCCATATTAGTCTTGAAAGTTTGTAAAGGGAAGCAGAAACTTCTTGGTATAGGGCAGTGGAGCTCTAGAGTCAGGTTTGGATTTTAATTCTGGTTCTGCCATTTGTGTGTGATGCTGAGTGAACTGTGCTAAACGTCCAAGGAAACCTGTGTTTCCTCATCCAGAAAATGGGACTAATACCTACTTTGTAGGGTTGGTGTGAAGATTAAATAACGTGTGTGAAGTCCCTGGAATACAGTAGGTACTGTATAAAATGAAATTAAGGTTGTGGAGGGTGTGTTTTTAAAGGTGAGAATGTTCCTAGGTTAAAAAGAAGGTACAGATTAGAGAGGCTGACAATAAAAAGGGTCTATACTGAGAAGAATGGGGTGGTCTGTGGTTTCACAGCTATTGAAACCCGCTGTGTCTTGTGCTCACTCCACTCTGCAAGTCAGAGACAAGAGAAGTCAGCCCCAGAGTTTCTATTTGGAGCTTAGAAACAACCTTAGAAAGTGGGTGCTAAGGCAGATTTCTGTAAGTATGCCTACCAAGCACACTGCCTCCCTGTCGGGTGTGTGATTGGGGGTGGACTGGAACGGAACTGATGAAGATTGTGGGTACGCTCAAGCCCTTAACAAGCCTCCCTTTTCGCAGATCCTTACCCGAGGGCTCTCTGGCAACTCCAGAGCCCTCTAGATTTTCTTCTCACATACGTTCTTAACCATCTCTTTTCTAGGGTTTTCCTCTGCGCAGGTCTTCGCGCGGGACCTCAAAGTGCGTGCCCGCTTCCCTTCCCCCAGCACTAAAGATAAATCTGGCGGTCCCAGCGCGCGCGCGCGCGGAGCCCGCGGGCCACACCCGCCTCCTAGCAACCGGACGCCAGGCTCAGCCTAGGGAGAGAGGAGGCCACCATGGACCAGCCAGCCGTCGCCACCGCCTCCACCACACTAAGGAAGGACCTGGTGCGTGGAGAATCGTTCATCACAGCCTCGGTAAGATCGTCTGCACCTTGCCGGCCTGGCTCCTGCTCCCCTCACCAGGCCCGCTGCCCTTTACCCACCGCTCTCTAATCCCAGGCCTTCGTGCCCTTCTGGTTCCCTCTTCCTACCCTTCTCTCCCTGCCCTCACGTACGTCTCCACCTGCGGACCTTCCTTCCTGGTCTTTATTGGACATTTCCTTTGTTTTCGCCTTGCTTCTTCCTTTTTTCTTCTTCGCCCTTTGTTTTCTGTATTTTTCCCTTCTTCCCACTACTAATTAAACTGGACAACTGGTTTAGTATGGTGATTGGATTTCTTTCCCTCTTCGCTCCATCTGCTGAAGACTGGGTTTTTCCTTCTGTGGCCTTACTAGACACGTTTTGCTCCGCCTCCTATTTTAGTATGTATAAAAATATTTGAAGCTACCTTTGCTACATTTTTCTTTTGGAGTCTCGATCTGTCACCCAGGCAGGAGTGCAGTGGTGTGATCTCGGCTGACTGCAACCTCCACCTCCCGGGTTCAAGGGATTCTCCTGCCTCAGCCTCCCGCGTAGCTGGGCTTACAGGCATGCACCGCCATGCCTGGCCTTTGTTACGTTTTTAAATAAATGTGGGTGAGGGTTGTTTAACCTAATCTTTTATCTTTCCCCTTAGAGTGAATTTAAAATGGTAGATAAGTGGAATTTAGATCACCTGTCTTGGGCAAAACAAAACAGCAGCTGCCAATTGTCTTCCATTAGATTGATCATGTTTTTTTCCCTCTCCTTCCCATCTCATTTTCCTTATTCTGGGGTAGGGGTGGGAGACCTGTCTTGACCTGCCTGAGAAAGTTTAATTTCTGTGACTATAAAAGTGCCACAGAGAAGATTCAACATAAATCTCACGAAGAAGTATCAAGGAAGAAGCTCAGCTTTAGCAGTGTGCATGAGACAATGTTTTTTAGAGAAATTCACATATATCATAATAAAATAAAACCCAGTGGTACTCATAAGTACAGTAGATTTAAGTTACTAGACAGGAAGAATGAATTATATCAGTTTTACTGATTAGATTATTACTTTTAATGCAGTCTTGCTTGACGACCTATATTTTATAGTAATAAAGGCATTATAAATGAAAGGGGAACTCAACATATTAATGATTTTACCTAGGACAAACAGCACAAAAGGAATATACTAAACGGTTGTGTTCTGTGGACAGTAGGCTGAAATAAATATGAAATAATAATGGATGAATGGGTATAGAGTACTAAATATGAAGACAACAGCTTCCTTGGAAACTGAGGAATACCAAAATAATCTGCTTCTTAACTTGGCAGATGAGATGTTAAAAATTAAAGCTACATTTATTGAGCACTGATTGTAGATTCAAGTCTTTATATGTACAATGCCTTACTCTTTTTTTTTTCCCCTGAGGTGGCTTCTCGCTTGTCGCTCAGGCTGGAGTTGCAGTGACACGATCTCAGCCCACTGCAACCTCCACCTCCCAAGTTCAAGTGATTCTCGTGCCTCAGCCTCCTGAGTAGGGATTACAGCCTTCTGAGTAGGGATTACAGGCATGTTCCAGCACGCCCAGCTAATTTTTTTGTATTTTTTGGTACAGACAGGCTTTTACCATGTTGGCCAGGCTGGTCTTAAACTCCTGGCCTCAAGTGATCCACCCAAGTTGGCCTCCCAAAGTGCTGGGATTACAGGTGTGAGCCACCACGTCTGGCATACAATTCTTTATTCTCATGGCAACTCTGGTAGTGCCTTATTTTTATACTACTGTGAGGAAGCATGAGAGTTGAGTAACTTACCCAGTGCACCTAGCTGGTAAGTGGCAGAGCTGAGTTCCAGCCTAAGTCTGTCTGGCTTCAAGCCCAACTCTTTTCTTCCTAAGAACACCACATTTCATCACATTTAATATATGTACAACATCTCTGTGAGATGCGAATGTTTATTACTCTAATTTTATCAAAGAGAATTTAGTTATTTGAAAGGACTTAAGATCATAAAATAACAACCTAAGGAAAATGGACAAATTTATTATTATGTAGCTTTTATTTTAATGAAGGCTTGTCAGTTGGGTATGGGTGTGAATTTCTTCAAACAAATGTTTTATAACTTATATTTAATTTCAAGGGATCACCTCTCAAATGAATAAGCATACTTTGTGTTTGTTAATAGAAACCAGCCCGAAAGACTTCCTCTTTTGAAAGAGAAGGATGGTGGAGAATAGCATTAACAGTATGTACATTGTTCAGTCTTTCCTATTCACATTATTCCTATTCCATTAATATTTTAATCCGTTATACCTTTTAAGACTAACACTTAATTGAAGAAAACAGTAATTGTTCAGATCTGCATGGACCTCATTTCATACTTAAAATTTTAGTGTCAGCATATGAATGAGAAACTAACTTAATTTTGAATGCAATAGAAGCTTGGAAAAGTTAAACAATTCTAGAAATCTAGGTGCTTTACAGAACATCTAGATAAGGCTAACCTATGATCTTATGATCTGGGTGAGATTGCAAAACAAAAAAAGCATGCATTCTGGAAAGGTGTTTTGGTTTCAGTTTTTATTTTATATGGTATAGACCTTATGCAAATGGTTCTTAATATGGTCAATATGATGTGAAAGCAAAATGGTAATATATGGAAGAAAAATGACCAGAAGATCCCCCTCTCCAGAGAATTTCTATATTACAGACATATTTTCTGTCAATGCCCTTCAATAATAGAGGGACTTCACAGGTCAAAGCCTTCTTGGAATTGCAGTAATTTTAATGGCAGAACTGAGCTGAGTGCTTAGTGGAAAGATGGCCACAAAAGCAGCAGTGACTAAACGTTCAGTTCTGGCCATTCAGCCACACTGGCTGTAATTTGAAAGTACCAAACCTCTTATTGGACTAACTAGGCCATATGCTCTGCCAGTTTATCCTGGTCTCATGTCATTATCCTTTAGCTTCCCACTTGAGGGCTAGAGAGAAACACAGCATTGGCTAAACAGATGTAGGATAGTTTCTAGTTAGCCAAGAAACTATCCTGAGTGGTCTCACTAGAGGTCTGAGATTCATAGTCAAGGTTGAATCCCAAAGTTGAATCACCAAAGTTGCCTTCTAAAAAGTTAAATTTCGGCCGGGCACGGTGGCTCATGCCTGTAATCCCAGCACTTTGGGAGGCCAATGCGGGCAGATTACGAGGTCAGGAGATCTAGACCATCCTAGCTAACATGGTGAAACCCTGTCTCTACTAAAAATATATATTAAAAAAAAAGTTAAATTTCAACTCTAACCCATTTGCTATAATTCAGCAATTATTTCAGAAAGGAAATAATCATGATTTTGAAATACTCTTCTGTCAAGAGTGTTTACTGTATTTGATACAATTTCATTAAACTTGAAAACAAAGAGAAATGTTACTTGGGGGCTTCCCATCCAAGAATGGTGTTTTAGGAGAAGTTACGTGTTTATACAATCTTAAAACTGATGTCAATTTTCCACAGAATACTCCTATACCTGGCACTTACCACTTGAAAACTTTTATTGAAGAATCCCTGTTAAATCCAGTGATAGCAACCTACAATTTTAAAAACGAAGGAAGGAAAAAACCACCTCTTGTGCAAAGGAACAATCCAGTCCTAAATGATCTTCCGCAGTATATGCCTCCTGGCGTCCTGGACCTGTTAAAGAAGCAAGCGGCTACTTACTCATTCAAAGACAAACCACGGCCAAGCCCCAGCACACTAGTTGACAAAGATCAGGTAAAGCACTACTAGCAGATTGCTTTGTGTGGGAAAGCTACTAAGAGCACCTGAGGAAAGTATTTTTATACATAGAGTATATCTTCCCCCAGGAGAAATGGAAAACTTTTAAGATGTCTTATTTCCTATAGAAATCAAACAAGGACTGCCTGATTTGCAAATGTTTCTGGCAAGATTTTTCCCTGTAATGTCTTCTTAATCTAAGGGGAGTACATGGGGAGAAATGTTTCCCTCTTGGGCAACTCTTGGTGGGATTCCCCTAGCCTGGAGAGCCCCTAGGATCTTATCTGTCACTGGGTTATGCTCTGATCTCTTCAAGCAGTATATGTGGTGAACCCTCTTCTTTTAAAGAGAAAACCCTGCCCCTCTGGGCATATCCTTATTAGAGCATAAATATAACTACACTCTACAGGGAAGCTTTTAAAAACTTAGAAATGACCTATCTCTACAAAAATAAAGAAAAGTAGCCAGGTGTAGTAGCGCATGCCTGTGGTCCCAACTACTATGGAAGCTGAGGTAGGAGGATCACTTGAGCCCAGGAGTTGTAGATCAGCCTGGGCAATATAACAAGACCTCAACTCTTTAAACAAAAAAAAAAAAAATGAGCTACTTGGGAAGTCAGGGCAGGAGGATCCCTTGAGCCTGGGAGTTTGAGGCTGCAGTGAGCTATGATTATGCGACTGTACCCCAGCCTGGGTGACAGAGTGACATGCTGTCTCTAAAAATATTTTTTTTAATTAAAAAAAAAAGAAAAGTAGTGAGCACGTGGTCCCAGGAGGGTCAGCTTCTAAGCTCCACCAGTTCGTTCGTAGCATTGATAATAAAGAGCACTACTGAGCTCACAGCCCTGCACTAGGCTCTGTGGAAGGAAGATGTTCCTGACCCGGAGGTATTTAAGCAACAATACAGGACAAAGTTTATCAAGTGCGCAGATGAATAGTGGAGCTGGAAATGCCAAAGGAGAGTTCAAGTGCCAAAGGAGGCTGGATTAAAAGGCTGGAGAGCTCCATGGCTTAAGTAGAACTTAACTGGACCTTCACTAATATATGTCTTTTATGTATTAGTGAAGAGCCATGTATAATACATGGCTCTTAATGGTTTACTACGGGCTTCCATGTATATTATCTTAATTGCTTCCTTCTTAAGCATTCTGAAATAGGTAGAACAGATATTAACTTCATTTTACATGCAAGAAAACTAAGGTGAGTAGAGACTAAGTAACTTGTCCAAAGGCACATTGCTAATACTTAAGTAGGTGAAGCACCACTTTTTACTGAGGGCTTCTGCACCAAAATTTAGTCCTCTTTCCAGTCTACCATGTGCCCCTCACCTTGAATGAGGGGCAGGGTTTGGGTAGATGGAATCCAAAGGAGGTATTTCAAGGGAGGAGTATAGCATTGTTGAAGGCATGGAAATGTCAGGAACACGGTCTGTTCAAGGGATAGAGTTGTGACTTGGACTTCGTTAACTTGGGACTTTGGGTACTTGTCTCAGTTCTCTGTGCATTAATATTTCCCATTTATAAAGAAGCGAATAATAGTATCAATCTTCATAACTTCTTCAGAATATTATTGTGATAACCTGAGAGAAATGTATTACAGCCAGAGGTTGAATTAAGTACAAGCGGTTGTAATTACTAAAGTGGACACGAAATTTTCAGCAGGATGAACACATGTCAAATCAAACCTTTCTACTACTTTGCAAATTATAGCTTTGAAACAGAACAGAATGATAAGTGTTCATTGGGTATATCTTATCCTGTTTGCTTCAGTGGTTGCATACAAACTGTAAATTATACTAGCACCTTTATGGCTTGCTACCAGGTAACCAGGCTACGTGTGAAATTGTTCTGGTTATCTCAAATGCAGAGTCTTTCTTTCTTATTCTCTTCTGACATTTTCTTTTCTGCTTCCTCTCTTCTCGCTTTTACAAGTCCCTGAAAATCAGCCAAAGGCCCAGTGTTGAAAGGAGAAAACATACAAGGTTGGAGTTACTCAAAACTAAAAATTTTAAAAGACCAAAAGAATTTGGCTTACTTAGGAGGATGGATGAAACCCCCTGAAAACATAGTTTTTCTGTTACTTTCTTCTTTCCTCTCCACCTTCTACAAAGGTTTAAACTCTAGAAACTGGAAAGATTCAGTGTTTTTCTAATTTTCTATTTCAAAGATATATATGTTCACAAGGAGAAAGATAAACATTGTTTACTCACCAGTAAAATTCAAAATTCTAATATTTTAGTAGCAGAACTCAGAATAATTTGAATTTGGGGTAGATATAGTATATATTATTATTCATTAAGCTAGAACAGCATTCTCAAATTTTATGATTTTTCACAGAATATTCATTTTATGTCTTTCAGTGGCTGCTTTTTATTTGCAATAAAGTTTTCACTATTTTTAGTATCTTTATTCTGAGGCATGTAACTCAACTCGAGAATCTACACTGAAGAGGCTTTCTATTTTTTTTTTCAACTTTTATTTTAGATTCAGGTTTGAATCTATTTGAGATTCAGGTTTGAATGTGCAGGTTTGTTACCCGTGTATATTCCATGATGTTGAGGTTTGGGGTACGATTGATCCCATCACCCAAGTGCTGAGTGGCTAACTATTAGTACCAAATAGTTAGTTTTTCAACCCTGTCACCCCTACTAAAGAGTCTTATTAAGCATATATATATATATGGGCTATGTGCAGTGGCTCACACCTATAATCCCAGCACTTTGGGAGGCCAAGACAGGTGGATCACTTGAGGCCAGGAGTTCGAGACTAGCCTGGCTAGCAGGGTGAAACCCCATCTCTACTATAAGAAAAATTAAAAAATTAGCTGGGCAGTGTGGCACAGGCCTGTAATCCCAGCTACTTGGGAGGCTGAGGCACGAGAATTGCTTGAACCTGGGAGGTGGAGGGTACAGTGAATTGAGATTGTGCCACTGCCCTCCAGCCTGCGCAACAGAGCAAGACCCTGTCTCAAAAAAAAAAAAAAAAGGAATATATAGGTATTTGAATGTGTGTGTGTACATGCATATACTTATCTATATTTGGCCCTTTTCAAAGAAGATTCAAGGTGGCTCCGTAATTTTTCTAATAACCTTTTTCTTAACAGATAAATAATATATTCACATTGTAGAATATATGTACACAAACGGGACCACCTTCTCCATATGTACAGTTTTATGACCTGCTTTTCCCACTAGTGTTGTAGTCCTCCACTGACCCCTGGGTTACTCCCCTTATTCCTTGATACTAGCCCCCTTCCCTCACTATCACTCTTTTCACTACTCATATAATAATTTCAACACACACGTAGATGATCTTTCAACAACCTGGCTTCTCAGTTTCTTGAACTTTCCGCTACCTCAGCCACTCACTCCTTAGATGTTTTTCAAGACCAAGAATTTCAACTCTACAATCTGTACATGAATCCCACTCTCTAATATACCAATCCTAACAATTTCTCCATTCCCCGCAGGCTACAATCCTAATCTATTGAGTCTCCCACCTTTTCACTACGTCTCAACCCCCTTCTTCCTTGCAAAGCTCCAATCCCATAGTTAATCATTATAGTTATTCCCTGCATACACTGTCAATTCCCTTGCCTCTAACTGCTCATCTTTTACTTGTTTGGCAAAGCCACAACCCTGGTTATGTCTCTCTTTGTATTAGTACCTGCATCCATGTAGCTGCATGACTGGTCTCATGCTAAATTCTTCACCTCTAATGGGCACTGAATGGACTTCTCTAGTCCGTTTACTTTTCCATTCTCTTGGGTGGTTTTATCTTGTATATCCTATTTATTTATTTATTTATAACACTGTCACCAAGGCTACAGTATAGTGGCACAATCATAGCTCACTGCAGCCTCAATTCCCCAGGCTCAAGCTATCCTCCCCCTCAGCTTCCTGAATAGCTGGGACTACAGGCACGCACCAGCCACCATGCCTGGATAATTTTTTAAATTTTTAGAAGAGGCGGTCTCGTTTTGTTTCCCAGGCTGGTCTCAAACTCCCGAGCTCCAGTGATCCTCCCGCCTCATCCCCGCAAAGTGCTGGGATTACAGGCATGAGTCACGCACCCAGCCACTCTCCCCTCTTTTCAAACCTTCTATGCTTCCTCCCCCCATCTTCATTTTTGGTTTTTCTTCTCAGCCATTTTTTGCCATCTCTGCTCTTCCCTCATCTCCATCTTGGAGTGCCCCAGGCACTCAAACCTCTGCTCCATCTCTGCTCATTCCCTGAATGGTGATCTCATCCAGTCTCAGTCAAGGTTATGAACACCATCTATTTGTTGGTGATTACCAAATTTATGTCTGCCACCTAGATTTTTTTCTTGAATTTCAAACTTGTATATCCAATTCTTTTTTTTTTTTTTTTTTTTTTCCTGTAGAGATGGGGTCCCACTATGTTGCCCAGGCTGGTCTCAAACTCCTGGGCTCAAGCAGTCCTCCTGCCTTGGCCTCCCAAAGTGCTGAGATGACAGGAGTGAGCCACTGTGGTCAATTCCCTTTTTGATTTATCCATCGGTATGTTTAATCCTGGGTTTGTGAAGCTTGGCACTGCTGACATTTTAGGCAGGATAAATCTTTGTTGTGATTGGGTGGTGGGGGGTGCTGTTTTGTGCATTGTAGCACCTGGCCTCTACTCATTAAGTATCATTAGCAATCTACTCTTCCAGTTGTAACAACCAAAAATGTCTCTAGACATTGCCATGCTCCTGGTTCGGAACCACTAGGTTAAAGCAATATGATAGTGAGTGTGATCTCTGAGTGGTTTTTCTCAAGGCCAGCAGGGATATTGTGAACTGTCTTCATTCTTGACTTTGTCTTACTACTCCCTGTCACTCTCTTCCTGACCCACTTGTCCTCCTGGCTGTATCTTGAACTTACCACTCACGCTCCAACCTCAAGGTATTTTCACTGTACCCTTTTTCTGGGATACTCTTATCCAAGATATCTGGGTGGCCTACTCTCTGTCCTTCTTCAAGTCTTTGTTCAAGTGTCATG